GCCTTCAAAACAGACCAAACTAGACTGGAATGTGCACATTTCAATATCAGAAATTGCAAAATGCTTATGCCATTTACTGACATAGCACTAGACCCAGGGACTCCATTAGTATAAATATTTCCGGAGTCCTGTGCATTTTAACAATAACAGAATGATCAGAACAAACACACGATTACAGCTTCTAACACTGAATGATACTATCTATCTTACTTACAAATCAGTTTATGTAGTTTTTGCCCCATTTTCTATGCATTTTATATCTTAAATAATCCTTTACAAAATTTATGTGTAAAATATTTTTTCAAAAGACAAAAGTTTAGAGGAGCAAGTCTTGTGAATTATCCTTCCTTTGGTTACTTTTGGCAAGCGGAGGGATCGCCATGAATTTCTGAGTGGGGTGGCCAAGCATTTCCATGGGTCATCTTCTCCCACATGCTCAGGGATGGGGGAAGTTGGAAACTCTCTTTTTTGAACATGCTGGCACAACTCTTCAGCTCTTTAGGGCCTGGGAAAACAAAGAGAAAGGTGTGTGTCACTTCTTTTACTGGCACTGTGAGCAGTAATCCCATGAGTCACTGTTCCTGTTGTCCTTGTGTCTCGGTCCTCTTCTCTCCTTGCTCATTCCTCCTCTGGGCCTGGTCCTCACACAGCCACAAATTCCAGACATTTCCAAGCACTGTACTGCCATTTACGTCCCTCAATTCCCCAGCGGTATAGCATTTGCACCTCCCGGTGCATATATCATCTCCCCAACAAAAGTAAGAAAAAGGTTTCCTCTGGTTATGAATCTGCATGTTCTGAATTCTTAAGGGGTTTTAACATAAAGAGAGTGAATTCCTTGCCCTCATTAATAGTCCGTGCTGGGAGCACGCTAGCACGTGTGTGGCTGCCTGCGGGGTGGGCGTGGAGGGATCAGGACCCCATCGCCTGGAGAGATGCTCGTCGGGAAACATCCACCTCTGATGACTGCGAACAGGGTGACTGGGTATCAAGTTAAGACTTGGTTCGGGTTCTCTTTCAAGTTGATCAGTTGGAAAATTAGAACAAAAGGTCTAAAATTTGGTTGGATCTCAACAAACTAAAGAGCCACTTCCGGTTCTGACTCTTTTTTTTTTTTTT